GGGGGGGGGGGGGGGGGGGGGGTGGACGGCGGGATGGGTGATTTGGTTTGGGTAAGAATTTTTTTTCCCCACAACAACTTGACGATGTAAGATTTTTTCCCCCAGCATTTCTGTTCAGTGTTCAGAATTTTTTTTTCCGCCAGGTATTTCCTTCCAAGAAATATTTTTTCCTCGAAATCAGTCTGCAGGATATTTTTCCAGAAATCATCCATACCCTCCCCCTCAAAAGTCAAATGGTCGGCCCATTAAGATGTAACGTACACCCGCCCGGTACACCCCTTTCACTGCCAGGTTTGCCATTTCTTATACTAATCACAGACAATGAGAGGTTTTAGTTTTTGTATAGCCCAATTTGTAATGGCTGGTTTTAGAAAATTTCAGGTAGAAAAGTCTGTCTTTTTAATTCCAGGTGTGATCACTCAGCCTCTCCCGCCCTCCCCCCCGACCTGGCTCCTGGTATAGGCCACTCCTGTGAAAAGCTAACCGGTTAATAATTATTATTTATTATAAATTTACGGCCATACTAACCACTTGATTACACTATAGAGAACAAGTAAAGGCCAAATATTTTTCATTTTTTCTTGTGAGCGTCAGCATCTAGCGTAAATTAATGTGACCTTGAATATGAAGCTGGATATAAATTTATAAATATTCAACTGAAAAATGAATAAAAAGACCTGACCTCAAACAGAGCATAAAACTCACCAAACAATTTTTGCACATGTACCATAACTACGCTTTCATTCGCTGTGAGATGAGACTTGCCGTATTTAACTGCAAATGATTCTAGTTCGTGAATGGCTACCAGTATATTTATGTCATTTCCTCCCGGTGGTAGTTTTTTTAAGTCTTCTAAAAAAATTCTGGTTGCATTGATTGCTTCCTGTGAAAAAGAAGAAGAAAAAAAAAGGTAAAATGGATTAGAGAAGATATGCCGCTGAAAGACCATCTAGTCTTTATCATGAATATATTAAGTTTATATTGAACGTTGTCAAATATCTGTCAATATGTGACTGGCTGTCTTTGACCAGCTTGATGTTATCAGCTAAAAGAACCAAGCAAATTAATCAATTTTTGTCCCTTCAGATATCAAATCAGAAAGAAATCATCTTGTAAAAACGGACTAATTTTTATCATGCTTGAGTGTTTCATTTCAAGAATAAAAATGATCAATAAATACATGCGAAATTAATAAGTCAGTGATCAAGGCCGTATTCAACTTAGGCATCAAGTTAGTTATTTGCAGTAGAGACGACTTCACCTGTAAGGAACCTTTGTTGCTAACATTGAGAGCCTTAATCAATGAAGAGTATCTAGATACCTGCAAAGGAATGTGTAACGTTTTGTGAAACCCAAGTTTTCCAGATAGTATTTCACTACATCAGCATTTACTATTAATTTTGATTCGGGCGGACGCGGTCAACTTTTGCCTTTATTTGCGGACACCTCGCTATTACGGACTGGACAATAGCTGAAAAGTATCGAGCACATAGGAATGGGGAAAAATTGTCACAGCGTTTGCTGACTGTGATCACTTCAGACTTGAACACTTGGAGCTACCTGAATCCCCAAAAGACGTTCACATGCAGAGGTTTATACCAGAAACAAAATCCCCTCATTAAAGAGACAATCGCGTTATCACCCTATCTTTTATAGAGTTGCGAACTCTTCTTTGGCAAAACTGATCGACCATTATTTATAACTCTCTTGTCTTAACTGCCACCGAGCAGCCTCTTTCAATATTCAGACATAATTAATTGATTTTTTTCACCTTCTTTTATTCCTTCCTTTTCTATGGTTAAATTGTCGCAGTTGTTTTCTTAGCTTAGGAATTCTTCGCACACTGCGCTGTTGGGGGCCCTAAATCCTGAAGGGAACTAACTTTTGTTCTCAATGGGCTACCTCAGTAACGGGAGATGACTCTCAAAGACTATGGCCAGTTGCACCACAGGTGTCCCAAGCTCACGTTATGAGTGTGTTATGTAAAATTAATTAACTTTCTCACGAGAGAGCCTGTTTTGCGTTACAAACAACCGTTGACACTTTGTATGAGAAATCAACTACTGATGTTTTCAAACGCTTAATATCATTATTCTTACCTATTTTTCTATAAAATAAAGGAGACTTACCTTTGATGTATTCCTGTGTTTTTGGCGTGAATTCATCGATTTAGTCGTTTTTTTTGGCTGTTATTGTTTGTTTCTCTCATTCTCTTCATAATACGAAGAGAGTGACAGGAGTCAAACAACAACAGCCAAAAAAAAAAACGACTAAATCGACGATTTCACACCAAAAAGCACAGGAATACATCAAAGGTGAGTCTTCTTTATTTATTTTATAGAAAAATAAGTAAGAATAATGATATTTAGCGTTCGCAGACCTCAGNAGCCTCTTTCAATATTCAGACATAATTAATTGATTTTTTTCACCTTCTTTTATTCCTTCCTTTTCTATGGTTAAATTGTCGCAGTTGTTTTCTTAGCTTAGGAATTCTTCGCACACTGCGCTGTTGGGGGCCCTAAATCCTGAAGGGAACTAACTTTTGTTCTCAATGGGCTACCTCAGTAACGGGAGATGACTCTCAAAGACTATGGCCAGTTGCACCACAGGTGTCCCAAGCTCACGTTATGAGTGTGTTATGTAAAATTAATTAACTTTCTCACGAGAGAGCCTGTTTTGCGTTACAAACAACCGTTGACACTTTGTATGAGAAATCAACTACTGATGTTTTCAAACGCTTAATATCATTATTCTTACCTATTTTTCTATAAAATAAAGGAGACTTACCTTTGATGTATTCCTGTGTTTTTGGCGTGAATTCATCGATTTAGTCGTTTTTTTTGGCTGTTATTGTTTGTTTCTCTCATTCTCTTCATAATACGAAGAGAGTGACAGGAGTCAAACAACAACAGCCAAAAAAAAAAACGACTAAATCGACGATTTCACACCAAAAAGCACAGGAATACATCAAAGGTGAGTCTTCTTTATTTATTTTATAGAAAAATAAGTAAGAATAATGATATTTAGCGTTCGCAGACCTCAGGTCTCAAGGGTTGCTTGTAACGCGACACCGACTCTCTTTTGAGAAAGTTAATTACATAACACACTCGTAACGTGAGTTTGGGACGCCTGTGGTTTCATAGAAGACAATCATCCTGACCTCAGTACTTTTTCATTAACATTTGCATCTTTTCTTGTGAGCTACCATGCAGTTCATAGGTTTATTTCTTGCAGGTTGCGCGAGGTGAAATAATTTGTTGCGTTTTTATCATGGTTGTGTTTTCAATAGAAATCTGTAGTTATTAACAATCTACCATAACTCACCAATATTTCCCAAGTCAATGTTTGTGTTGTTTTTGATGATGACTCTTTTATTGTTGATTGTGATGCTGGTGATTTTGTTGATGGTACAGATAACGGTAATATCGCCGCGGTCGATGAATCTCTCATGAAAGTTGGTATTGGTAACGTTGAAGATGGCGATGTTCCTTCTATTTCTGTTATCAATGATTGTACAGGTAACGGTAATGACGCATTTGTGGATGCTGCTGTCATTATTGATACGGGCGATGGTGATATTGTTGCTGATGTTGATGTTTGCGCCATCAGTGTTGGTACACGTGTCATCGATGATGATGTTGGTGCTTTTGTTATCAATGATGACATCTGTAACGGTGATGATGTAGGTGATGACATTTCTGTTATCGATGTTGATATGAGTGTCTTTGATGATGACGATGTTTCATATGTTTTTGTTATCAATGAAGATATGGGTGAAGGTGATGATGTGGGTATATGTGATAAGAGTGTTGTTGTTGTCCAAGCACCTGCGTGAATATGAGTTTAAAAAATGTTACATACAAAATAAAGCCTGCATGGTACAAGCCGCTGATCCCACCATTTACAGTCCAATGGACCATTTGCAGTCCGACAAAAAATAATCAAAACTAAACAAACTGTAAAACGAAAACATGCAAAATAGGAGAGAAAAAAGGAGGACTGGTGGCCTAGTACTCAACATATCCGAGCTTTATCATAGACTTTTTAATGCAAACTTAATGTAACCCTTTCTGTTTTACCATGATTATTAATTGATAAATACTAAGTTAATGTTAAATCGTAATCTTAAATGTTTCTAGAGGTGGAACATGTGTAATATAATACAAGATAGTAGGTTGGAATGGTCAATTTACTCCTCTTTACTGTCGATTTAGTGTCGATACAAAACCTATACTTCAATTAATATTCACATGTTTTGAGTAAGTGTCGAATCAGTTTGGTGGAAAAAAAATTCCATGGTGTAAAGTTAACTGACCTGGACGAACTAGAAGAGTAAGTTATACAACGTGAACGTCCAAGTTTACAGCTTATGACCCACTCAAACCCACGGAGAAGACAACGAAGAAAATGAATATAATCTGATTTCACCGTTACACTGATCCGTCGTTCGCACCGCCATAAAGCATTACTTAAACTTGTACGAAAAGCATTTCTTGTACATCAAAGATCTGGCGCGTTACTCTAGATCCTTCTGTTGTTACCGTTGCGGTAAATATTGGAAGAAAGGGTCCCGTTTACGTCGTTACGAGAACACCTGTGACGGCAAAGTGTAGTTGAAGTACCTGGGTGGCGCGTAACCGTACCAAAAACCGTTTTTTAAGAACTAGCAACAGAAGGCATTATCGTTCCTGAAGAAGCACGCTATTTTCCGTACCCTGCGAAATTTGATTTCAAGTACTACTTTGACAAGGAGAAACCACAAGAATTAAAAAACACAGATAAGTGAAACTGGCAATCTGGCCATGTACCCTTAAGAACCAGCGTATGTAGTAACGTGCCTGGTTACCAAGCAACCAAATGTTTCGTGTCTAACGGCGACCAAAACGCGTTTATTACAGGGTTTATCCAGTACCTCACCAAGATAAGCCTGAAAAGTTCCCCTCTGCTCCGTGAACAGTTCACACCCGTGTTTGAAGCACTGAAACAAGCAGCTGCCCCAGACCTTTGTGAGACGCATGGAGATCAAACTCTCGCAAATTCAAGTAGTTTAAGGCCTGGGACTAAGGGGTTTGCATGTGGAAAATGATTTATCGGCTATAACTTCGGCATAGATGATGGCGCTGAATCAAAATTTGGCACACATAAAGAACTCATCGTCCGTAACATTTTCAAGTATAGATATTTAGTGAATGAGTCTCGTGATATGTCACGTGAGCATTTTGCTAAAAATCTTAAGTTATTGACCAGTTGGTGGCCGGTTTAAGGAAAGAAATCTAGCAATAACATTTTTCTAAGTCATATTAAATATTTCTAATTGTTACTAGCACGGACACGATTGTGCTCTCAACTGAGGAAAAGACTAATTAAAAGCGCAAGAGAGCGATGGCGGGACTGATGGAAGAAACCAGAGCCAATACAGAATACATCCACAACAAAGGATACAACGTGGTACAGATGTGGAGTATGAATGGGGCGGGATGAAGAGAACATACAGTAAATTACAAACATTCATCGCCACTGAAGTAAGAAGGAACCCTCGACAAAGCGAAAATTATGAGCCCAGAGCGAATATTGAGCGAGGTGCGAAGTGAGCATTTGTTTGGGTGCATGGAACTGGATGTTGGTGTACCTGACCATCTCAAAAAGAAATTTAGTGAAATGTGCCCCATCTTTAAGAACACTGATACCAGCCGTGACGATTTTGGAGACTTCATGAAAGCCTATACTCAGAGGAAAGACGACTTTATGGCACAGCCCCGTCTCAGTAATATTGGTAGTTAAAAAGAAGGTGACTAGATCCTGTTGGGCACACCTTTGCTGAAATGGTACCTGGAACATGGTTTAGGGGTCACCAAAGTGCACCAAGTGGTCGAGTTTACCCCTGAAGCCTGCTTCAAACCGTTTGGCGATGCAGTCTCAAACGCGAGACGAGCCGGTGCCATCATAGCGGATACGATGAAACTGGTAAGATTTTGTTTCATTTTTCGGTCAAAGGGGAGAAAAGTCTATTTTCGTATACACACCATTTTTATAAAATCTACATTTTTCTTATTTAGGTGGGGAATTCAGGCTATGGTAAAACCATCACCAACCAGCTGAAGCACAAGAATGTGGAACACTGCAGTGATGCCAAAGCCAGCCGCCAAGTCAATACTCAACTGTTTCGCAAGCTAGATGATGTTACTGAAGACACATGATTAAAGTGGTCTTGTAAAAAATCGATTAAGTCTTATCGATTCAAGTCGATTTTTTGTGTACCAGTATGTCAAACTTCGTATGCTACAATTTTATTATGATTTTTTGGACAGGTATTTAGATCGTGTAAATTTTCAAATGTGTGAGATGGATACCGATTCAGCTTATATGGCAGTTTCTGGGGACAGTGTAGAAAGTTTGGTCAATCCAGAAAAATAGCAGAGTTGGAACAAGATAAGTGCAATCGGTTTCCCCGCACCATAGGCCTGAACGTAAGGCGTATGATAAGAGAACCCCAGGTCTTTTCAAGGTTGAGTGGGAAGGTCAAGGAATGGTTAGGTTGTGTTCCAAAACCTATTACTATTTTGGGGCGAAAGACAAGTTTTCCTGCAACGGTGTCAAAACGAGAATATAATGACATTAGCAAAGAGAAACATTTACAGTGTAACTCACGAAAAAAAATAGTCCTGGTGTCAGTCGTGATTTTCTTGTTGTGAACAACGCCATGAATACTGGTGATGAACGAAGGCCATTATTTTCTTATTGAAAAAAGTAAGTCAAGTTTTTTTCAGGTTTATTCACTTGCAGAGACGCTGTTGCTTTCTTGCCGGGAGGCGAACTGACTTTTGTTCCCTGGGCTTTCCTTTTAGTACCTTTCCAATCAGCTGCTGACTGCGCTTGCTGTGACTTCTAGGACGTCATATTACCTATAGCTTGTTTAGCCTGTTTACTGACTGCCGTTTTCAGATTATCTTCATCAAGAACATCTTGGGCAACGTTGACACCCGTTTTTAAAGCATTTTTTCCAATCACTTTACCACCTTTTTTTAGGTGAGGCATCACCCAGCAGATCAGGCCTAATTTAAACATGGAACCTAAGCCATAACCTCGCTGACATCGAGCTCCGTGAAATGCTGGTAAATTCCAACCCTTTTGCTCGGCTTAATCTACGTAGTACTGTTCGTAGAACTTATGATTTGGGGCGTGGAGGTTTTTCATTTTTAAAAGTACTAAGTTTGACTCTGACGAAAATGAAGCGTTAACAACACTCTTCCAAACTCAAATTGCACAGATTCCCCTGTGTCTCGCTTTATATTGACTTCGATGGTTTCAAATTGCTTTCTGCTCAACAGGTACATATTGAGGGGGCACAAAAGATTTACTAGAGAGCTTAAGCAGCGGACGTTCTTGAGGTTACGGACGTCAGGAAGGTTGCGCCCGGTCTGGATCGAGTACGGCGTTTGTGGCGCGAGAAGAGATGATTAAGCAATGATAACGCGAGACGGACGTCTTGTCTGTGTTAACTTTAGCTTGTCTTCATTCATGACATAGCATTTTAAATTTCAGAAAGATCTTTGTCGTTGAAGGGGACTCGTACATTTTCTTTGCCCCTTACTCATATCACCTTTCACATTTATTCGCCAAGCTTATACTAAGTTTAGCGGTCCATTTTATTTGCAGTTTCATTTACCTCAGATGAGATTTAGTTTACTATTAATTTTCAAAGTTGATTGCGCAAATATCACGGGGGTCACGCTAGAAGGCCTTTTCAGGATATATGTAATCAACCCGTAAATGTTGTCATCTTCCAGTTCTGCAGCCAGCTAGATCTAGCCGGGTCAACCTGTCGTGTCTAAAAATAGAATTAGAGACTGTTTACATCTCTGAAAGCGCAGAATGAATAGCAGACAAATTTTGATTGGTTTTAGGCCAACAATTTAACCAAAATATCGGAAATTACCAAATAATTCTTACCCTAACGCGAACTTTCGAGTACTAGAATCTCGCGTTCTATCTTGAACTTCAAAAGTGGCGTTCTGGCGTCGGCGACCTGACCTCACGGACGTAAACACATGTGCAATATAATCACTCTGGCGTGAGTGACTTCCGCTCGGCGTTCGTGACCTAAAGAACGTCTGCTGCTTAAGCTCTCTACTGACTCCCTGACCGACCTCTCCTTCTAGAGGAACAATTCGAAGCAAAGGTACCAGTGCATCGCGAACATATTGTTATTGAATAAGATCACAGTTAACGAAAAGATCGTGAAAGCCGTATTCCAAATCCACTTGTTTGTGGCCCGTGGTGGTCTTTGAAATAACTTGTTTAGGACTGAACCCCAACATATAGACCATATCATTTAACATGACTTCCGCGTTGGTTTTCAAATAAAACGTAACCTTTCTGCTGAGACTATCGTATGAAAACCGCACATCATCCTTATAGCAATGTTCATTGCAATTGTCCACTAACTCATTTCATCTTTTGAAGGACATCTTCGATGGATGAATAATAACCCGGGAGCATCTCCAGTGAGTCCCAAACACCGTAAAGTTTTCATTTCGAACTTAAAATCGAAACTGTTGAATATTGTTTCATCTATGCGGATAATGGATCTCGGTCAAAGCCACTTCCCATTCACCTGTCAGCTTCAGGGTTTATGGTAAACTAACTCGGTACTCTGTTAATGTGTTCTGGGGAAATTTATCAAGGAAAGGGATATGCAGATAAAACTGTGTTGACTCCATGGAATGTGACGCTCAAATGAACTTTTTTTCTGGGACTTCTTAATTTATAAGTAACCACAACAACACAACTTTGTGTGAAGTCATTCTTTTTCCTTTACTTAACTCTTACAACTTTAAAATATTACTCTCTGCTACCCAACTGTTAAGTTTGTCTGGGTAATCTTTCCATTTTACAAAAAATTCCACGGTAAAAAGTTGATGTCCTTTTCAAGCATGTGTCTGAAACTGGAGGTTCAAAAACTCTGTCCGTTGCTCCGTTTGAAGTCTGGTGGGTTTGCGACCAGTAGAAAGGATCTTTTGAAACGCTTTGACTAGTTCTTTACCCTGTTTTGTCTTCAAAAGGTAACACCCAAGCGTACCTGCTGAAGATATCAATTCAAGCTAAATAGAATTTAAATCCATTGTTATAGCGACAGAGATTTTGTAGATCCACCAAATTGGCTTGAAATTGTGTATCTACTCCAGGAACGATGACTCGACTTCTCTTGTGGTGTCTTCGCCCGGGTTTATGAAGATGAGTATATTAAACATCTTGCTGACTCATCCAATCTCGGACTTGTTTACGCAATATCATGTTCTCTCCTTTCTCTTTGACTGTTCTGTAAACAGTATCTAAACCACCGAAACTTGCAGGTTGACTCGGGTCTAGATGAATGCTGGCCAGTGTTTTCTCTGCCATAGAATTCGGAGTTGTGCACGATAACTTTACCCCTGCAGCAAGCAAATTCGAATCCAAAAGTGGACGAAGGAGAACAGCACCCCATCCCTGATGATCGCTATGAAGGTTCAAGCCCCAATGACTTCTTTTCTCTTGGTATTTATTTATATAGCTACTCTCGAATCTGGGAGAGAATGGGCACGAGAAAATTAAGTAATAGTACCCATTCCTCCTCCGTTAGTCCTAGCTGATCCGATGAAGTTAAAAAATACCACCAATCGTCCGCAGGTCACTTTTGAAAAGATTTCCGAGTGGAGTTCTTTCAACTTTTCTAGATTCGAACCCTGTAGGTCTTTAAATTTTTCTTTAAGCCCTTCCATTTCACTTGAAGACACTTTCAATGTTTTGGCTTGTGCGTGGCATCACGAAACCTCGACTCGAAGTAAAGAGAGGGAAAGCCTCATATTGACCAAGGAAGAGACAAGCGCACACTGACTCAAAATTAAGTCATAAACAAATTTAATTACTTTCAGAGATACCATGTCATTAACTATCAGGCCAAAGTGTATTGGTTCTTTGTTTTTTCTCACGACTCACGGGAGTTCTATTTCTTCTGGTTGGTCACTAAAATATTTCCATTTAAAACCACTGAGTCAGTAGTATAAAGCGTACAAGATACGGCTCTGAAGATCGTCACCAAAACCTTCAAGTTCTAAAGAAGTCAGATAAATGCTGGTCTAAGGCATCTTTAGCAGCTCGTTCACGTACGCTTGCCATATGATTTAGCTAGGTTGAGGCCGACAGCACTGCACACACTTTCGGAAGTTTTCAGCACTGTATTCAGATCAATCTTCTCCAAAACATCATCTCTAAAGCACCCAAGCTTCTTTGTTATCCACCACCAGGCACGAATGCTGTCTTTGACTTGGATGTTTAATGACACAACCGTTACAGCGATTTAGCTTTTCTTCTTAAATGAGTGTATCAACCATAGCCGCATAAGTTGGAACACATTGCCTATAAAAGTAGCTATCCTTTGACGCTGGACTTTTTCTACTTCGTCTACCGTCAGCAGGGGCGTAATGCTTGATTCGACATGAATGTTTAGAACCATCTTGCAAAAATTTACGAATGTAAACGACAAATAATTTTCTTAGCAAAGAGATCGCAAGAATGAAATGCTGAACGGAGAGCGCGCTTTTATTTCGAAAACATAATACATTGTTGACTATCTAATCAGGGTCGGTGCTTAGAAGGAAACAATAATGTACCATGTTGCAAGTTAAGCCCCGTAGGTGTAAAGGTATAGGTAAGTCATTTATATTCAACTGCGTTCTTGTATATTAATTTGGTAGTTTCGAGAAGCCTGACGTCACGGCAGCCATATCGGTGTTCGAAAACAATGAAACGGCGGCCATATTGGTGTACCAATGAAATCCTCTGGGAGTTGAACTCTTTTCTCATGTAAATGCTTTCTTTTGTTCCAATTAATTGGCATAGATGCCGGCCACGCGAGTGAAAACGCTCTATAGGTAAATCATTAACATTCCGCACATACCTTCCTGCATACTAATTTGGTTTACTAATGAGCGTCTCTCTTATACGATAGGAACAATAGGCTTGCCTAGGAAAGTAACTTTAGTCCGGTTTGCCGGAACGTTTATTTAAAAAAAATAGGAATAACAGGAGAGATCACTTAGCAACGCGAGAAACGGCTTGTGTCTTCTATTTAGGGCTAAAAATCAAATATATAAAGAAAACACACATACAGAAAGTGGAGCTGAAAACTCTTTTTCTCCTTTCTTTCTCGAGGAAACGA